AGCCCCACCAGCCTCCCAGACCTGCCCCCACACCCTGCAAGCAGCCCCCGTCCCAACCCCCCAGACCTGTCCCTAGCCCCAACCACCCTGTCCCCCCACCCTGTCCCCATGCCTCCTGGACAGGACCAGCCCTCACCTGCTGGGCCTTGGGGTGTGCAGGGCTGGCGTATGGCTCAGGGGCCGGGGGCCGCTGGAAGCCACAGGCTGGGGGCTCTAGAGGAGGTGGCACCAGGGCTTCAGGGCATGGGGGCTTGTGGGGGTTAGTGCCCCCTCCTGGGGGGCCCAGGCCCAGCCTGCAGCCCTCCTCCTCGCCTATGGAGGAACAGGCTATCAGTAACCCCCACGGACCCCTATTCCCCTCAGATCCCCCCACCTAGCCCCAACAGCTCCCCTGGATGCCCCAGATTTGCCCCACCTCTGCCACTGGTCCCCACCCAGTGTCTGCAGTCCCTAAATCTACCCAGCCCCACTGCACCCAGTCCTGCAACCCCCCCCGGCACAAACCTCCCAGGATCCACAGACCTCCAGACTCCCCCAGGACCCCCCAACCCCACTGCCTACAGCCTGCCAGAGCCTACCCCCACCAGGGCCTGCAGCCCGCCAGATCCCCCCAGCCCCTCTCGGAGCCCCAACCTCCCCAGCCCCCTTCCCCAACTGCCCCATACCCCATCCCGGGGGCTCAGGCTTGCGCTGGCTGGGGGTGCTGAGGCCCAGCAGGCCAGTGATGGAGTAGCCAGCATCCGAGGGGGGTGACTCTGGGGGGGTCACGGCCGAGCTGGGAACTGAAGCATATGGTGGGGGGCAGATGCGGCTGAGCCTGGGGTGGAACCAGGCCAAGACCTGCTCCCACAGCAGGGATTGGCCCAGGGGGCTGTCAGTCATCCCCAGGGGAGTGAGCAGGATTGGACTCTTGTGTTGGCCAGAAACTTGGTGCTCTCCCCCTCCCCCCGCCCTCCAACTATCTGGGGCTCTTGTCTTAAAGCCCTGTGGGATACAGACCCCCATACCCACCCCCTCCATTGCCCATGATGTCAGGGGCTGGCTATGTTTCCCAGGATGCCTTGCTATAGCAGTGGGTGGATGCTCATGGGGCACTGGGGAAAGGTGGGGTCCAGCAGGGGTGCCCCATGACCCCACAACCTCCCCGTGACCCCAGAGTCACTCACTGAGGCTGTGGCCAGGACTCAGGGCCTTGGCGATGGTGCAGTTCTCCATGGGGAGGTTGAATGGCTGCTGGACCTTGGTGCGGATGATACTGGAGTGGAGCAAGAAACACAGCAGTTCAGCCAGGCCCAGCACATTCATGTATGTGTGTGCTGGCATCCATGTGTGCACAAACACACATAGGTATATGTGCATGACTATACAGGGGCATGAATATTTGCAGCCCCACACATGTGCTACACATAGGTATGTGCAGGTTTGAATTCATATGCACGTGTGCTACATGCATATTCATACAAGTACATGTGGGGGGAGGTGGGACCAACAGGTGTGTGCTACATACTGGTGTGTGGATGTGTTGCAACCACATGTGCATGTGTATGTGCTACACATGTGCAGATTTCCATGCATGTGTGTATTACAAGCATGTTGGTACTATGTACGGGTGCGTGCCACGTGTGGACACATAATGTAGGGGAGGGATCTTCAACATGTGTACATGTGGGGGTGGGGGCATGTGCAAGGGTGAGGCCTTCATGCACAGACGCCTGTGTGGGTACACACGTCAGGTGTATGCGCATATGCTCAAACGCATACAAGTGTCTACACACACACACAGAGCCTGAGGTCAAGCAGGCACTGCCACTTCATGCACACCTGTGCTTGTGTGACAGTGTGTGCACCAGCACATGTGTGAGGCCCGCCAAGAACCCTAGGGAGCTTCCCAGGGCTCAGGACTGCAGGCTGGGAGGACTCCCCCAGAGGATGGGGGAGCTGGGGAGTCCGCACCGGTTGATGGAGCTGACGCTGGGCACGGTGTCGCCATCGCACACGCCCTCGGCCAACAGCCGGTCACGGATCTCCCAGGCGAACATGGTGGGGTTGTGGCGCTTGTAGTCTCCAATCTTCTCCACCACCCGTGGCGTCGCCACCTTGGGCTTGGAGCCCCCAATCACGCCCGGCCGGATGCTGCCGGTCTCGTAGTACCTACTCCAGGACACAAGGAAATGCCGCCCTGGTAAGCTGGGGGGGTCCTGGGGTCCAGGGGCCTAGAGGCCTGTCTGACAGGTGGGGAAACTGAGGCATGGCTGGTGGGGAGTGGGGGTTAAGAGGCCAGTGTGGAGAAATAGGCACAGAATGTGTGGTACAGAGCTGAGCCTTAGGAAACTGAGGCATGGCTGTAGGGGGGCAAGGGAGGGACCCCCGTTACCTGCCCAGGATCTTGCTGACGCAGCCGTGGCTGACACGCAGCTGCCGGGAGATGTCACAGGGCCTCACCCCCTGGTGGGCCAGGTCCACAATGCGCTGGCGCACACCAGCAGGCAGCGGGCGCCCATTCACAAAGGCTCCACCCAGCTGGTTCAGCCCTCCGTGGCCTGCAGGGAGGAGGGAGGGTCACCACGAGGATCAGCTGGGTCTCAAGGGGGGAGTCAGGGAATCAGGAGCCCCAGTGGGTGCGCGTGCATGGCATGTGCACATGCTGAGTCTGTACACATGTGTGCTTGACACCCCAGCAATATCCTTCCCACAAGGACCGGGCCCATCTGGGGTTGGACCACCCTTGCTGCTCTCTAGGATCTAATTGCATGTGTGTGCAAGCATGTGCCATGTGGAAGCAGGTGGTGTGCGACAGAGAGATGGGCAGCCCATGGCCCCCACCCCTTTGCCTGCAGGGGGGACAGGGAAGGGCAGGGGGACCACTAAGCTGAATCAGGCCCCAGGGCACTGGATCGGGGCCTTACACCCCTGCCACCCCCTCCCCTCCCCCACCA